TTACTATATATATATATATATATATATATATGAGAAATGATCCTATAGGACTCTCTTCCACTCACGAATGTAGGATCCCCAAAGGATCACAATTAAAGTTGGTACAAATATCTAGCAAAGTCAAGTCTCACACTCATGTCATAATTTTACTAGAGATTTGTTTACTATATATATATATATATATATATATCATTTTTGGGTAATTTTTATAGGGATATTAGGCTTTGCCTTGTCTTTCCAAAAGGAAAAACAATAATAAAAATAGAAAGATCTTAAGATGTGTGTCATCGTCATAATAGTTGGATAAATATGCAAAGAGATCGTTTACTTTCGTCACAATTACTTTTGTCCTTCAGATTTCAAATCGGGTGATTGTATACAATCATATAATAAAAATAAAAATCCTATAATAATTTTATAATAAAAATAAAATCTCGAACTTCGTGACACACCCTAAGAAAGATCAATAGTCTTGTAATATACAATCCTATAATAGTTTTAACCCTCTAAGAAAGATCAATAGTCTTATAATATACAATCCTATAATAGTTTTTCATATCAATGGCTTTTTTCACCACTATTGAGAAATAGGGTCGGAGCTTATCTTAACAAATGCTAACCAAGGCCTGTGAAAACTACAAATCCTCGTTTTCAAATGTCACTAGAATTGTTGTTCGGTGTCGAAAAGCCTTCAAATTTAGCATATCAACTTTGATTATTATGGATGTGAAAAACAACGAGTTCAAACCCGAAAAAAATGTCTATATTACAAATTAGGTAAATCGCCAATTTTCAAGTGTCCATGGATCTAGAAGATCTATATCGCTTTTTAAGCTATAATTGGTGGTAGAAATTGATTTTAGAGCCATTATAACAGTTTTCCTTCCATGCCTAAAGTGTTTTCTTGAGGAGGTTTTGAGGTGATGTTTTACTTCTTTTTTTTCATATGGCTTAGGCTTTATACAAACCGCATCCAAGGTTACTAGCCAAATGAGAAGCATAATCAAGAAGTAAATGGAAATTTTGGTTAATATCCTTCTTTCTTAACCAATCTCAAGTCCAAAAATATTGCATGTTATTATGAATTTTGAACCTATTGATAAAAAATAAAAAAAAAATGAAAAAACAAAATTCATATAGCCAACCTCAAATACTTGAACTAAGAATTGGATAATGATGATGATGATTCTTCTCCTAAACACGAAATAGGAATCTGTCTATATAAATTTTCCTGCATTTACAAGATTAAAAACCACACTTATTTTTTTAGAATTTTATATTGTGAAGCCTATTAATTTGAAAAGTTAATAATTTAAGTTGATGGATTTTGAAAAGTAATTTTCTTTCTCTCTGTTGTTTCATAGTAAATAAAAGTTTCTTTTCATTCCCTCTACTTCTCATGTGTTAATGACCTACAATGAATTATAGACAAAAGGGGAAAAAAATTAACCCAAGGATTATGGCTTTTCCATTGTCCTTTGGAGTTGTCCAATTCCCCACGGAATAAATTATGATTTGGTTCTCATTCTCCACCAATTGATTAAACAAAGTTCCATAGCAATGAGTAGAAGCAATAGAAATAGAAACAAATGATGGCTCACACCGTGTTTCAAAATTCAAACTTTATTTATTAGGAAGGTTCTCACAGCAAGCAAGGCTCTCAAGAAAAACAACTGCCATTTGTAAAAGGAAAATGTTTATATGAGGTGGTAACCTTATACTATTGAACTAAAGTCGCACCGGAAAATATGTTTCATGCTAGATAACCCTCGAATTGATAATATCGTCCTTGAAATGTATGGATGTATAAAAAAAAAAAGATTTTAAGTTATAAAAATGGTGTATCTTATTATCTAGACAGTTCATTTTAAAAAATTCTAGTAATTTATAAATATGTTCAATGTGCATCGTTTTTAGAGCTTTAAATTTCACAATTAGAAGTAACAACAGATTTTCATGCCATTCCATGACTTTCAAGTACTGAAACTGCATCTTTTGACATAATTTTGAGGTAAGCCTTGATAATTTATGATTGATGCCTTATACAAACCTCACCCTTTGTAAATTGATGAAACAGAATATTTTCTTAAATTGGGCCTCACATTTTCAATGGGAGCATTCCAGATCTCTTTTATAAATAGTCTCATTGTATACAACCTCTTCTAAACATAAAATAAGGGATTGTATACAATGAGACTATTTACTTTTGCTACAAGAAGGTCACAATTACTTATAAACATCGGATGCGAAATCTGATAGCTTGGGTGTGCCACAAAGTTCAAAAAAAATTTCTTCCAAAATTTGAGCTTAGTCAATTGAATAAATGCAACCATCCAATTTAACATCTAATGGTTATGATTAATTGTGAACCATCCAAAATTATCATGGCCATTTTCAAAAGGGATGGAGTTTCTATGAGTGGGACAACTCATATGTACACATGTGCCCCTTAAGATGGATTTTTTATTCAAAATTCTAGGGATACACGATCTAGGCCAAGGTGATCATGAATATGAAAAAATTAAATTTTTTTTTTTAAAAAAAAATGTGCTTCTTTTAGGGGTTTTTGACACTCGGTATATATGTTATTTTAAAACCGTGCACACAACGTTCATATTAAAGATTGATGCTTGCGGGTCCATCGACTCATAAAACTTCTCCTTCTCATAATAGTGAATTCACCAAGGATATTGAAGAAAGGGAAGTTTTATTATCCCTAACGCACAAGTATTTGTGTCCATGTATGCTTGTGTACTAAAACCTATATTACGAAGATATACATATATCAACATGGGACCTGCATATATTATTATCATCATCATCCTGTTGTATCTCAATTATTTCGGTTACATTAATTATGTTTCTCTATTTTTCTCTATCAAAGGTCATACTCTCAATAAGACTAAAAGTTATCATTTCTATCAATTTTTTTTAGACTTTCTCTTTGCCCTTTTAGAGCCATTCTATTTGAACTAAATTGTACATCCTAACCGGTACTATATTATGTCTACAATGTACATGGCCAACCCATATAGATCTACTTTTCTTCATTTTATCGTTTATTGAAGTCACATCTAAGTTGCCTCGTATGTACTCATTATGAATTCTATCCTTCCTTGTATTGTCACTCATCTATCTCAACATCATCATCTTCACTATGCTCATCCTATGGATATTGTTTCTTGACCGCCCAACATTCGATCCCGTAAAATATGACTATTCTTACAACCGTTTTATAGAACTTTCCCTTAAGTCACAATGCTATGCAACGATCACATAAAACTCTAAATGTGCATCTCCACTTTGTCCACCCAGCTCTAATTGTATATACATCTTCTTCAATCGTAAGATATTTCTTCACCATCAACCTTAACTACTCCATCGTTTCTACTCCTATTATTACTAAACTTATATTTTATATATTTTATTTTAATCCAATTAATTTTGAACCATTTAGATTCTAGAGTATCCCTCCCACATTCTAACTTTGTACTGCCGACGCCTCTACTCTCATCGATCAAAACTATGTCTCCAGTAACTCATTTTCTTTTCAACACCCCACCAAATTAAACTTCAGGTACCCTATCATATGCTTTTTTAAAATTAATAGAGATCATGTAAAAATCTTTTCCCTTCACCTTAAATTTCACAATCAATTACTTAAGTAAGAAAATAGCTTTAATAGCTTACCTCCCTAACATAAAACCGAACTCGTATTTTGATACGCTTGTTTCACGCCTTAATCCTTGCTCAACTTCTCTCTCCTACAATTTCATAGTGCGGCTCATCAGTTTAATCCCTTGGATATGCATGTATAAGAGTGTCAATGTCAAATCATTTACTCCAAAATTAGCTTTTGAAACAAAAAAATTTGTAGATTTGCCTCATTTAAACAAGGGAGGAGGAGAAATTTTAGGTTAAATTTTAAAAATATATGTTATATGTGATGACATTTCAATAAAAAAAATTTAATGAAAGTATCAAACATGGGTGGCGGGTCCTTTTACATCGACTAGCACCAAAAACCATGGCCATGTCACATTGACCAAAACCATTAAAAAATGTAGGTGCAATAAATCTCAAGAAAAAGATGTGAGAACTTCTAGGCATTCCCGTCAGTAAACTAACTCTTAAATCATTCAAAAATCCACGAAACCAAAATCTGCAATAGAAAAAGATAACTAAATCACACCATCAAAACGTAGTCCTCTCAAATTTTCTCTCAGGTTTTCTTCTCCACCTCACGAAAATAGTCCCCAACTGTTCTCTCCCAACCCACTTCTCTCTCTCTAAACTCTCTCTTGGCTTCTCTTTCTAAGTTCTGATTATCTTTGCCTTGCTTTCTTTCTATCTTAGATGAGGCAAGGAGGAACGTCTAGTGTGAGTCCAGCCTGGATCTGACCCCAACCAATAAGGCGCCAATGCTTCTCGATTCGCCTACTCAAGGCCACCTTCTCTCCTTTACTTGTGCAAACAGGTGAGGTCAGCTGAAGCTTAGCTAAATCATTTTTCACGGCGACCACTTTTGCACCAGTCGACATAGAACCTATATTCAGCATGAGTATCTCAGCCTTGGTCAGTTTTGACACCTTCCCTTGCTTCTCTGTACCCTTGGTCCTCACACCGAGGAGACGACGGAGGAGGAAGAAGTTCACCTGCTCAACATGGTTCAGGATGAGCATCTCCTCTCTCTCTCTCTCTCTATCTCATCCTCACTTTAAAGGATCATGCAGTGCTTCAAACCTAGGACTCACCCTAGAACACGAAAACCTTTTTTTGAAGAATATTAGTTGGACATTCTACGACACAAATAGACTCTAATTAGATTCGAATCATCGCTGTCATGATTTTCGAGAACCAGCAAATGGCCAGTTCCGAGTAACCTGGGTGAGTCCAGGCGGGCTGGCCAAGTTTTTAAACACTGGTGTCACGTTTGTTACCCATCAATATAACAGTTGGACATCAATCAACCCAATGTTTTCATGCAAATCATTTTCAAATGAGGGTTAAGAGCTAATTTGCCAGAGACCTCTTGAAAATAGCAAATAAAGAGAGAGGAATTGGCATGCAATGCCTCACCTCTCTCCTGAAAAGCATTAAATACGTATCACCAAAATATAAAATCGATGTGCTTCACTGTTTATTTTTCAAAGATGGAAAATCAGGGTACCTTATACAGAAAACAATTTTGCTTCTATTGATATATGCATAAGTAATTCGGTGAAATATAAAATCATTGTGCTTCACTGTTTTATTCTTCAAAGATGGAAAATCAGGGTACCTTATACAGAAAACAATTTTGCTTCTATTGATATATGCATAAGTAATTCGGTGAAGGAACAAAGCCACCATATATGAAGGTTACCCTTCCTCTAAATTAACAGCAGCCTCTTCTATGATGGATTTTTATTTTTCATGTATTTTTTACATGGTGACGAGTCATTAAGAATTCAATCAAGAAACAGATGGACTAAAAGGTAAGTGATGGCTTACCTCGAGCTCAACAAAGACATCGGGGAGTGAACCAATGTCTCCCAATACCTGACCCACAAGCCGATCAGCTCGGGTCAGCGTGGGATCCATAGTGGTACCAACTCCAATAAGACCACCTGGAACTGCAAATTGAAGCTCGTTTTGCTCGGCATATAAAGAAACTATCCTTGAATAAATCGGAGTACATTTCATGTTTCCGTTCTCATCTTTCACAACAATCCCAGGCCGAACTTCAATCTTCTGATTTACCTTAAGCACACCCTGCAGAAAGATGGAAAGACTCATTCAACTATGAGATAGAGAGTACCAGAAGAAACGTCAAGAAGGCTTTAGAACCCAAAAGGAAAAGAGAGAGATGATGGTAATGAAAGCTTTAAAACTTGTGCATGTGTGCGAGAGGGAGTAAAGCTTAAAATCTGTCTGTGCTTGCGATAAGAGAGAGAGAGAGAGTGTGTGTGTGTGTGGCATCAAGAAAAATTCAGAACCCCATTTTACCAACACTACCACCCACACAGGACCTTAATTGAAAGTTCCCAACGAACATAAATTTCAGCCGATAGCACAACACAACATAGTTTTTTTTTGTGAATATGTTAACTGTATTAAGCTTAAAATGAGTACAGAAAGTATGAAGAGAGGGAGCAGGATAACCACAGACGGGTTCTGCCCAAAAAATAGGCGACCCACAAATGGGTGCCCTGTACAAAACCATGTGTATCTCAAAAAAGATTTACACCAATATATCGATTCCAATCTGTGATAGGAGACCGAGATAAGGTTCCCTAGAGTGTCTTAGGTTGGCATGAGACAAGGTTGCAGCTGCTTTTGCCAGAGATTCAGCCTCACCATTTGCTTCTCTCCAAACACAACATAGTTAAAAAGGGGCATCATCTCATCCTTTATTAGCAACAGCTGTTACAACTTATGGGGAAAAAAATTACCATGACTGCCATGCACATAATTTATACAAGTTCAAAACAACATGTTAAGAAACATACCCTCAAAATACTTCCACCTGCAACACCACCCTTAATCTCCTCAACCTCAGAACCAGGCTTATTAACATCAAAAGATCGGATCACTATCATGTTGGGTGGGTCAACAAAGTTTCTTTCGGGAACTGGAATTTTATTTATGAGGTATTCGCACACTACGTCAACATTATACTTCAATTGTGCAGAAATTGGAACAACTGGAGCTCCATCAGCAATTGTTTTCTGCATGAAAAAAAATTGAAAGTCAGCTCAAAGTTTAAAAGTTGAGAAGGCTGCACTCTCTGCCTCAAGCAGGCTCAGACATAGAGGGCATGTTTTGTTTTATTAAATTTCCCTCTTCCACAAAGTTTGGAAGCCGCTGCTTCCATGGTTTTAGTATGGAAGTGGTGGCCTCCAAAAAGCAATGTTAATCAATGTTGTTTTAGGGCTCGTGAAAGCCTCGGCTTCCAAATAGTGGCCTCCACTCCGCGCAACAAATGCCGGAGTAGAAGCCGCACTTCTGGAAGCTGCAGCTTCTGGAAGCCGCGTCTCCCACGCAACGAACACACTCATAGATAACATACCCACACTAATACTACGACACATTTATCATATCTACATTTATATACACATCTCTCGATGTGTGTGAGTGTGCAGTCTTTGGTGGAATGCATGCGTTATAATGAGGCCCTATGCATCGCTATGATCACACTCTTAAAAAATATCTTAGGTGCATTGGACATTGTGAACTAAACTCCCCCCTAAATAGAAAAAAAGTTACACAAATGAAAAAAAAGAACTTCTCAAAAACCCGGGGGGAGGGGGGGGCGAGGGAAAATAAAGAAAGAAAACAAAACAACAAATGACAATCACAGATAGTATTTGTAACATATTACATATTACACATTATTTATTAGTACGCTATGCCATTTACAGCAACATCAATGTTCCAAAAAATGCTGGGTGTCTTGCCTAAGCAGCCGGGGGACTCCTGGCCACCCAGTGCCTAGGCATGCACCTAGGTTTCTGCATGATGACTACAAATTCACAGTAGAAGCAAAAATAAGTGTTTTTCTAGTTTTTTCACTCTAAAATGTAAAAAAAAAGGTTTAGGTCACATAAAAACCCAACCCTCCCCACTCTTATTTATGGGAAGGCACAATTCCTTGGTCCCCTGCCCAGCGCTAAGCGGGGGGCCCAATGTCCCTGAGCAAGCTCCAGGGTCCCTAGGAAGGCATAGTTCCCTTGGCGCCTGCCCACAGCTAGGCGTTGGGCACCGCCCAAACAGGCGCCTAGTTATCCACCACCCAAGAGGACCACCTAGGCCTGGGGGATGCACCCAGTCTCCCTTGGCACGCCTAGGCGCTGCGCAGGCTTTCTTTTTTTTGAGAAAAGGTAACATTCACTTTGCTTCAGTCTCTTTGGCCTAAGTTTTCAGGTTTAATGCCCAAATCAAACCGAAGAGTCTCTCTAAACAACATATTCAGGGCGCTATGCTCCCTTCAGCATGATTCGGGAAACAAAACCAAAGAGATCTTTTTCAGACAAACCCAATCAGGAAGAATGATTTTTTTTTTCTCTAGACGATTCGAGCTGGAAATAAGAGGAAAACTAATGCCCCAATGATAATGATTATTACAAGGAAAAAACTTTTTACATTGGTTATTTGGTAAACACAATTTTCAGGATTTGAAACCTAGCTTACACTCTTTGGGGAGTTCAGTCCTTTTTCATAAGCGAATTCCTTGCTAGCCCCCCCCCCCCCCACCACTCCCTCCCTCCTCCCCTCCCTCTCTCTCTCTCTCTCTCTCTCTCTCTCTCTCTCTCTCTCTCTCTCTC